CCTCTCCTCTTCACCAACACTTTCCTCCACCGGTCCTTTCACATACTTGAATCCTGAGGGAAGAGGAGTAGCCACATGACCTTCACTATTCCCAAAGTTTGCAGCCAAGGCCTCCAAGTACTTCTTTTGATGCACTCGCATCCACCGCTTCTCCACATCTCGCTCAATGTGAAGCCCAAGGTAGTAGTTGACGTCACCAAGGGTCTTGCACTTGAACTTGTCATGAAGCTTCAGCATCACCTCCTTCCCAAGGTCAGAGGAGGGTGAGAATATGAGGATGTCACCCACATAAACCACCATGAAGCTCCTCTGCTCCCCCTCGCCAAGCATGAACAAGGATTGATCGGCCGTTGAGGGAGTGAAGCCGATCGCCTCCAAGACTTCCCGCAGCTTGATGTACCATTGCCTAGGGGCTTGCTTGAGGGAATAGAGTGCTTTCTTCAGCTTCCACACTCTGCCACTCCCATCATTGTACCCCTCTGGCTGCTCCATGAGGGTCTCTTCCTCCAAAACTCCGTTGAGGAAGGCCCTTACAATATCCATTTGCTTCACCACCCATCCTTTGATGGCCACCGCGGGGAAGAGAGTTCGAAGGGTTGTACCCTTAACCACAAGGGCATATACTTCATTGTAGTCCTTCTTCTCCTGCTGCTGGTATCCCTTGGCTACAATTCTGCTCTTGTAGCGCTCGATGTTGCCATCGGCGTCGGTCTTGCGTTGAAGATCCACTTGGAAGAGATCGCGTTCCGCCCCTGAGGTAGATTCACCAAGTCAAATGTGTTGTTCTCTATGATGCTCCCCATTTTGTCATCTGAGGCCTTCTTCCACTCCTTCCAATTGGGGCCCTCCCAAGCCTCCTTGAGATTTGTAGGCTCCCCCGGCATCTCCACCGGAGAGAAAAAGGCAAAAGCGCACTCCTCGCTGTCATCTTCCGCATCATCGCCTAGCATTTAGTGCCGAACCGGTCAAGGTTGAGTTGGCTGGTCTTCCAAGCCGGTCATAGCTCAACCTATTGGGGGCTGAGTCTTCCTTCTCTCCCCATTCCTTGCAGGGACTTGGATGCTCTCATGGCGTTGCTGCAAATCTGGTCGGTTCCCGCGAGCACTTGTAGCACGAGGCGGAAGTGACGGTGCACGCTCATCACCTTGCTGCACCTCCTCCTCCTCTTCTCCCCCATTCATTTGAGGAGATTGCCTTGTGATTGTGCTGCTGCTACTCAGCTCCAAGGGCAGCTTCACATGCTCCAAGCCGGTACTCTTCACCTCTCCAAGCCGCACACCACTCTTCCTTGGTTCTCCGCCTTCCACTCCTTGTACGGTAAGTTTTCCATGAACTTGCAATTTCTGATCACCAAGAACTTCTTGGTAAATGGGTCCCAAAGAAGCCATCCCTTGCTGTTTTGAGCCATGCCCAGGTGCACGGCCCATGTTGCCTTGGTTTTAAGCTTGTTGTGCCGAAGTTTCTTAGGCACAAGTGCCATGCACATGCACCCGAACACCCGAAGCATATCCACCTTTGGCTTCCTTCCAATCCACTCCACATAGGGCACCAATTTGTCTTCTCCCACATGATTCAAGGCTGTGTTCATGGCCACACAAGCATGCCGCACCGCATCCGGCCAAAAGTAATTGGGAAGACCGGCTTCAATGAGAAGTCCCCGAGCCGTCTCCGTGAGTGTCCGATTCGCACGCTCGGCGATGCCGTTCATTGCAGGAGAGTAGGGCATGATAAGAGAGTGTCTTATGCCTTGCTTCTTCAGCCAAGTTGAGAAGTCCTTGCTCATGAACTCTCCCCACGGTCAGTGCGAATCGCCTTCACAAGCCGGTCTTGTTGCCGCTCCACCATCGGCAACCAATCGGTCTTCACCGTTTCAGCTATGTCACTCTTCTTGGGCAGCATATACACCCATGTCATGCGAGTGTAGACGTCCACAATGGTGAGGAAGTACTCTGCTCCAGCAGCTCCAAGCTTCGAGGGGCCCACCACATCCATCACCACCTCATCGAGTGGTGCCTTCGCCGTTGTCTCCAAGCTATAGAACGGATAGCAGGTGAACTTGGCTTGCGTGCATGTTAGACAGCCAAGCACCTCATTGGGCTCCCCCTTGATACATATCCCACTGACCATCTCTTGCTTAACAATCTGCTGCAAAATGGGCAACGCCACATGCCCCATTCGCCGATGCAAGGTCAGCCAATCACACTCTCCCGTAGCGGAAGTCGGGTTGGAGAAAGCGGCACTCGCAATTGTGCCCCACAAGCTCTCTCCTTTCTCCTTTGCCGCTTCTGCTTTGCTGATCTTAGGCTTCTCCTCCTCATTTCCACCACATTTGGCTGCTGCACCATTCTCCTTGGGTTCACACGCCTTGCTGGTCTCTCCAAGATTGCATTCCTTTGAGTCACTCTTGGTGTCACTTTGCTTTCCGTGATCACCGCCACCAACCGCTTCACTCTTGGTGCTGACGCTTGCTGCCACTTGCCTCCCCTTAGGCATAGGGACCACTGGGATTTGCAACATCTCATTGTAGATGTCCCTATCCTTATGAAGGTCCCAAAGCTTCCGCTCACCAAGCCTCGCGGTATAGGTTTTGGATCCCTTGGAAGATGTGTCCATGCCGGCCTTTTGCAAAACGCCGCACGGAAATCAGGCTGGCTGCTAGGTTGGGCACCCAAAGCACGTTCTTGAGGCCCAAAATATTCCCATCAGCACCCTTGAACATGGCCTTGCCCATGCATTTCACCTCTGCTCGCTGCCCCAAAGCCGATGTAACATGCTTGACCGGCAACGGTTCGAGCTCGGTGAGCAAGCCCGCACGAGGTGTCATGCTATAAGTGGCGCAACTGTCGATCACCCAAAATTCCAGAGAGTTAAGGTGACATCTCCCATAGTAGCTGGCTCCTCAAAGCCTTCCACAGCTCCCGCTGCTGCTGCCGCTTGCGTGGAGACAAAGAAGAATTGGCCCGGGTATCGATCTTCACTCGGGCCCGTCTCGTAGTCTCCACCTTTCATGCTTACCGGTTCGCTTCCACGACCACCACGGCCTCCATGACCTCTGCCTCTTCCTCCCCTTGCTCCTCTGCCCTCTTGGCCTTGAGAAGGGGTCCAACCATTAGGCAGTTTGAAGCAATCTCTCCACATGTGGCCGTCTTGTGGCAAAAGTGGCATTCGCCATCAAATCGACCGCGCCCACGCCCGTAGCCATTGTTGTTGTTGTTGCTGCCCATATCCTCCATTACCACGGCCTCCATTGAAGTAGCTGCTTCCAAATCTACCTCCTCGCCCTCTGCCCCTTCCATGGCCGTGCCCACGGCCCATGCTTGCAACTCCGGCACCATCGGGACCCGCCAATTCACGACGGCAGAAATCTTCTTGCAAGTTTCCCGCTTCACATCTTCGAGCGAGAGGCGGGGCAGATCTCGATTTTGGTTGATGATGAGCGAGGACCATGAGTCTGGAAGTAAGGCCAGCAGCTTGGTCTTCTTTTGAAGGTCACTGTAGTTCAGCTCAGCTTCTTCGAGCCGTGTCAACAAGTCGAAGAATTTCTGCACTCCTTCCTCCACTTGTTCGTCTTCGTCAATTCTAAGTGCCGCCATTTGCCGCTCCAAGACCACAGCCACGACCGCTGTTGCAGGAGCGTGTACACCCTTGAGAGCAGCCCATGCCTTTGGTCCCTTTGCTGGTTCATGCTGAAAAGGCTTGATGTGGCGGATTTGGCTGCTCCCCAACGCTTGCCCCAGTTGAAGATAGCCTTGTGCGCTCTTCCGCACCCACGGGCTCTTCTCCAGGTCGTTCTCGGGCGCTTCTCCGTTCCTTCCATCACCTCCAGCAAAATCATAGTGGTCAAAGATGTTCTCCATCTGAAGGACCACTCAGCAAAGTTGTCACCGTTGAACTTGTCAAGGCCAAACACTCTAGGCTCATCCCTAGAGGGGCCGAGACTAGGTTGCACAAGAGCAATGGGTTGATCTTGGTTTTGACCTTGTGCTTGGGCGTCTTCTCTGCCTCCAGCAACTCTGCCACCCCGTTCCTTCAGGGTCTATGCATGGTCGAAATGGCTTCAAGGGGCTCTGATACCACTTGTTCTAACCACAATACGCTCAGATGTGCCTAAAATGATGAAATTGTGCACAGTCAGAATTCCGTCAGACAGCTTCAAATATTGATGCCGATGGCGGCACTTAGAATTGACGAATGGTCAACGAGCACATAGCCCCATGGAACGGAGAAATTCTCTGGAGATGGCTATGATGATTGGGCATGGAAGATGCAGCTCTACTTTCGACAAATTGGCCTCTTGAAGCTCATGATTGGAACGGAGCCCAGGCCAAAGGAAATGGCAGAGCAAGCGGACTGGGATGAACGTTCATCTGCTGGGGTATTATCTACTGTCACAAAGCTTGGAGCTGAACCAGAGGCATCACATCATGCATCTGCTACCGGAAACTGATTGTGGGCCCAAGGCATGGGCAGTGCTCAAGGACCTGCACGCTCCGACATCGGTTGCCGCTTCTCTCATGCTGGATCGGGAGCTGTCCATGCTGCGGTTGAGCGAGAATGAACCTGTGCAGCCCGTTCTGGACAAGATGAGGGAACTCTACGCGAAATTGGCGATTGCGGGCATCACGTACCCTGAGCAGACTAAGTGTCTCAAGATGCTCAGCCTGCTGCCCGAGTCTTGGCTGCAATTTATAAGCGGACTCAGCTTGCCACAAAACCAAAGTCAATGGACATTGGAGTGGATTCGCACCAAGATTCTGGAAGAAGATTTTCGTCGCTACACACTGCGCGGAGGTGATGACAGCACCAGCGGCTATGCCATGCAAGGGACATGGAGGGATCGAGGGCGTGGCAATCGCGGTCGCTCTTACTACAGCCAAGGTGGTCGCGGGACTTGGAACCAGCGGGGGCGTGGTGGCGCTGGTGCAAGAGGAAGAGGTGGTCACTCCAACAATGACAACAGTGAACCACGCTTGAGGGGAGAGTGCTGGTATTGCAAGGAAGAAGGGCATCCATGGTTTCGCTGCTCTACCAAGCCCGACTGGTGGACCCCTTGGAACCAATCGCAAAAGGGGAATGGAGGAAAGCAACCACGTGGAGGTGCCAACATGGTAGCTGATCCTGCTGAAGAAACCTCCAAGGATGACAGAGGAATGGGGAAATGAGGAGAGGAATGCTGGACAGTTCTACCATGTGTGTGACAAAGATGACAGTGGCACAGCTGTTGCAAGGGCTGGAGAGGAATTGCACCCGCTTGACATGTGGGTCATGGACTCTGGTGCTGCATGGACAATGACACCACGCAAGGACTTGCTGGATGCTGTGCGAGCGCCTCCAATCTCTGAAGTGCGCTCAGCATCCGGACATGCAGTGAAGGTCGCTGGAGTTGGTCGAGCTGCATTCAGAGCACCTGATGGTGGACTGGTTGTGCTGAAGGATGTCTTACTCGTACCGGGGCTGAAGGCCAATCTGATATCGCTGCGCAAGCTAGGCCAGGCCGGAGTCAGCACCACCACCAATGGATCCAAAACATTCAAGGGGCTGCGAGGAGATCGTGTGTTATGGGATTTACACGAAAGCAGGGATGTCTTCAAATCCATGTGGCAGATCCCTGCGCTGATATGGGAATCAACAAAGAAGGAGCTGGGAGTAGTAAAGGCGGGATCTGGAGTCCAGGGGGAGTGCAATGCAGTTAGTGCTGCAGGAGTGATGGTTTCTGCAAGGTCGGGGGAGACTGATTGGGAAACCGCACACAGGCGTCTAGGGCATGTGGCTATGCCATTGCTGCAGCAACTGCATAAGGAAGAAGCAGTAAAGGGGCTGAAGCTTTCTGGGCAACCAAATGATACCAAGTGCGAGACGTGTCTGCTGAGCAAGTTCACACGGTTCCCCTTTCACGGTGTAGCTGGGAAAAGCAAGGCAGCACTGGAACTGGTGCACATGGACCTGGTAGGACCTTTTCCAGTTCAAGGAAGAAAGGGGGAAAGATACTTCCTAACAATAGTTGATGACTGGAGCCGGCTGATGTGGGCATACCCGTTGAAGCAGAAGGATCATGCTGCCTCAACAATACGAGATGACTGGCTGCCGCTCGTCGAGCGACAATCTGGGCACCCATGCAAGAGCATCAGAAACCGACCGAGGTGGAGAGTTTCTAGGAGGAGATCTGACTGCGTGGCTCAAGAAACAAGGCATTGAGCATCAGCTAACGACGTCCTATACCCCTCAGTCAAATGGCGTTGCTGAGAGGGCTAATAGGACCATCCTGGAAACTGCGCGAGCGCTGCTGATCGAATCAGGGCTGGGGAACTCCATGTGGCCTCACGCGGTGAGGCATGCTACAGTGGCAAGGAACCGCGTACTCACAAAGGTAGCTGATGATATGTGGGTGCCGCTGGAGAGGTGGCTTGGAAAGAAGCCTCCAGTGGACATGCTCAGAGTGTTCGGATGCATGGCAGTGGCGCATGTCCCTAAACCGTACAGGACAAAGCTTGGAGCATCTGCACTGTGGTGTGTGCACCTTGGGCTTGCGGCAGAGAGCAAGGGGTGGCTACTCTGGGAGCCCTCAAAGAATGTGCTGTTTGACAGTCGGGATGTCAAATTTGTGGAGAACATCATGTATGGCAAGTGGGAGAAGCAGCCGGAGGCAAGGGTCACCCAGCAGCTGGAAGAGATCACTATGCACTTCGATCTGTCCGAACCTGCGGACAGCGAAGTCACTGCGCCAACGGCAAGCGGTACTGATGAAGGAAGCAATGAGGATATTGCAGCTGATGCTGAAGTCAAGGATCCGGAGCAGCAGCAGCAAGAGGCTTCCAAAACACCAAGTCTGCCAAAGCGAAGGAAATAGATTGGTGGGGGGACAAAGGATTGGGTGAAGGTGAAAGAATGGGTAAATCCAACCATCTACCCTGCACGTACCAGAATGGCAACAAGAAAGCTGCTGAGCTCTACAAGTGAAGGAGCCACAACTGAGCAGCAGGAACAGGCTCAAGGCGAAGATACAGTGCTGTTCTTGGGTGATGACCAAGAGTCAGATGACGAGGAGCCTGCATACTGCTTTTACGCACCAATACAACCTCCGAGCATGGATCATGCGCTAGCCGGGCCTCAACGGGGGAAATGGCTCGTTTCAAGAGATGCAGAGTACAACAGCCAGATGGAGAACCACACATGGGACCTGGTGTACTTGCCAAATGGGAAGAAGGCAATACAGTGCAAGTGGCTGGCAAAAATCAAGACGGATGAGAAAGGAGAGCCATCAGTTTACAAGAGCAGGCTGGTGGCAAAGGGGTTTCAGCAGAAAGAGAAGGAAGATTACAAAGAAGTGTTTGCCCCAACTGCTAAGTCTCCAACGCTACGTGTGCTGCTGGCGGTAGCTGCTGTGCGCAAATGGAAGGTGAAGCAGATGGACATCGTAACCGCTTTTCTGTACGGCATTGTGGAAGAGGAGGTGTACATGGTTCAACCACCTGGCTATGAGGATGGAACCGGTCGTGTCTGCAAAC